AAGTGGAGCCACCCAGCCCTGTGAACATCATCTTTGCAATGGCCACATCCCCGGCTTAGTGTACAGTCCCAACAGGACTTACCGCTGTCCCAACTCCTTATTCCCCAGTGAGCAAACACATGTTTGCAGTTAATTGAAGGGTGGTGTCACAGGGTGATGTCTTGGATTTAGAACAAAATGGTTCAAATTACCAAGGGTAGCTGGTTTTTCCACCACTCTGAGGCAGAGCTAACCCACTTGAGATGTTACCTAATTAATATCTTAGAGCCTCAGTTTCAATGTTCTTTCTGTGTATTCAGTTGTGATGATCTTGCCAACTCAAAGGATGCCATTTTCCCAAGACAAGACTGCACTAGTGTTTTGAATTTCTTTTTATTTAAAAAGAAGGTAATATAGGAACAAACAGAATGGACAGACATGGTCCATATGGGTGAACTCAGGAACCCTTCCAGAGCTCTCAGGCATGGCTCAGAGTCCACACAGAATCAGGACTCGATTAGTGAGTTAAGACTAAGTGAGAGAGACAGTTTACTTTTCAAGAGACCAGGTGTGTGTGTGTGTGTGTGTGTGTGTGTGTGTGTGTGTATGTGTGTATGAGTGTAAGTGTGTGTGGGGGGGTTCCTTAAAATCTTCCTTTATCAGCCGGGTGCTGGTGGTGCACACTTTTAACCCCAACACTCGGGAGGCAGAGGTAGATGGATCTCTGTGAGTTCGAGGCCAGCCTGGTCTACAGAGCAAGTTCCAGGACAGGTTCCAAACAATACAGAGAAACCCTATCTCAACAACCAAACCAAACCAAACAAAACCAACCAACCAACCAACCAACCAACCAACCAAACAAACAAACAAACAAAAACTTCCTTTATTTCTCTTTCCACCCCAGGGTTGCAGATTCCTTTAAGGCAGCCACAGACTTGTGTGGTGGCCTGTAACTAGGCCTGTAAGTATGAGAATGAAGGGCTCTGAGAGGAGGAGGTGCACACAAAGATGACAGCCACATGCAGCAAGGATGTGAAGCCTGGTGCCTTCCAGGACTGGCTGCAGTTGCTTTTTTGACCTCGACATGTGGTGAATTCTCATTTTTATCTATTTTTTCAGAAGTTGACAGATGTTGAAAAATTACATTTGTACAACTGAAGGATGACAGCATTGAACTAGAACCTGCAGTTACTTTCAATTTGGAGTCTTTAATGTGAGGTGAGGACATAGGAGAATGAGCTACCATACTGGTTTACGATCAAATCTCTATGAAGAAATCCCAAAGATGAAACATTGGCTTCTCAGTGGTCCATGGTCCTGTGGGTCGATGAGACTGGACAGTAGCTACACACACACACACACATACACACACACACACACACAGAGAGAGAGAGAGAGAGAGAGAGAGAGAGAGCTTACTCCTACCACTGAAACTGGGAACCCACAGTGGAAAACAGTGATGGGTATAGGGTAAAGGGCCTAATCTGAGAGGTCACAATTGACAGTCCTTTGACTGGCCATGGAAGCACACCATTTTCTAATTACTACCTTTGAAAGGCTCTGGGGGCTTCTGCATTCTCACGGTGGTGTTGCATTGGTATGTGTTCAAAAGCTGGAAAGCTAACATGCCATGCTTTCTCTGACGAAGACATCAGGAATAGACTGACTTCCTAGCTCAGGGAACTCCAGCCTGGAGAGGAAGTGCAGATTCTGACTATGTGCTTATAACCACCAGGGAGACTGCTGTTTATGTAGGGGAGACACTCATTCATGCCACAAGAAGTCCTAGTTACTCACTCTTATGGGAATGAGGCTCAAGCCACAAACTGGTCAAAGGAAGTGTCACTCAGGTCTTATTGAACCCTCCTCACAGGCCAGGAAGAGCAGCCTTTGAGAATTACCTAATACAGGAAAGGGATTAGGGAGACTCTCCTTGGATTAGAAATTGCTGAGCATCACTGAGAGGGCATGTCCATTCTTGCAGGCCTCAGTCACAAAGCATCCATTTACCCCTTTACAGAGGATTAATTGTATATACAGTGATGTGTGCCCAGTCACCACTAACCCATTCTTGAGTGCAAAAGTGATTTATATTTCTGTGGTTCCCACCCGTCTTTCCAGAAGGTTCTGTTCCAGCTGCCTCCTTCCCCCACCCCATGCAGCCATGCTTCACAGAGCCCCTGGGACTCTGTCCTCACCTTTGTGTCTCTGTCTCAACAGGTGCACACCCACATACCCACGCACCCTTCTAGAGGCATCACCTTCTGACCTACAGTAATGTCCGCCCCTGCCAGCACCTGAAACCTTCCCTGGAGGTATTACTGGCCTCCTGACCCACCTGTCAGATCAGCCTGATTTTGGCACAAGTTAAGCTTTTGTACTTTGGATGAGGGTCCCCAATGTCTCCTCTGCTGTGTCACTGACTGAATTTTCAGAGAACCAGCTATCTGACCTGTAGAGCCATATTTTGCCACACCCTACCCTTTCCCAAGGCAGGACCCTCACCTTGGCTGTGCCCTGGCAGAGTTGACTAGCTCCAGGCCTCACTTCAGGCAGCTGCCACCCTTTATAGGCTTAGGCACCTTTGCCAGCTGTCTCAGCTGTGCTGACACTCAGAATGCTGGGAATGGTTGATGGGCTTGCTGGGCCACCATTAACTCCAGGCTCTAAGACTGCCCTTTCCTTCCAAATGACAACAGCTCCTAAGTTTTCTCTGACAAGAATCAACACCCTTGTCCACACAACAACAACAATCTTCCAAGTCAACAGTAGGTGGAATAACAAGAGTTTAGGCTTTGTCAGTTGGTACAATCCCTCACTGTTATCATGTGGCCTCAGGCTGCTCACCCATGAGCCGCTGAACAGCAGAGATAAGTTACCCATTAGGCTGACATGGACAAGAATATGTGCACTAGGTCTGGCAGAATGGAGGACAGATAGTCATCCTCCACCCCATCAGGCCACATGCTGATCCTCCTGCATTCTACTGAGCAGGACATGTGTCTCCTGGCATTACCGCAACAACACTTTCCAGCTGGCACCATGCTGTTACTGCCTTGTGTAATACCTGATGAGGTATTACACAATTTACAGAATAAACAAATGAATGAATGCACCTTTGCTATGGATTTAAACAATGTCTCATATTTAAGCCCTTACACTGTTGAACATTTTCCTAGTTTTATTTCTGTTGCTGTCCAAACCAAAAGCAACACAGAAGAGGAAAGGGATTCATGTGGATTAGAACTCTAGGCTACAGTCCATTACTATGGGGGAAGTCAAGACAGGAACCTAAAGCATCATCAACCAATAATTAATCTCTTTTAGCCGTAGTTTTTATCTACAAAATGAATTGGTACCATGTATAGTAATAGATTATGAATACATATACACAGGTATGTATACATCTCTATACATACATAAGGGGAGTATCTCAGTGGTACTTGCCTAGCATGCATGGAGCCTTAGGTTCCATCCCCAGTGCTGCAAACAAGAATAAATTAAAGACAATGGATGGATGGCAAATACTGAAAAGGATTCTCAATAAATGTCCCTTGTTTTAAATAAATATATTGCATTTACCCAAAGAGTATATAAACACATTTCTCTTTGGTTTTTAGATAAAGCTCAATAAAATTCCAGAACTCCACTCTCATTCTATTAACCAAGACAGCAGTCTAGCACTGTTCAGTTAGTGGCACAGAGATATCAGTCATTTGTTTCCCATTAAGGAGTCACCGCCTCACGGGAGGCAAATGGTGCATTATACCATATCGAAGCTGTGCGGGACGTGGTCACTGGGAAAGTGGCTCTTGACCTGCTGTGGGACAGAGCTGAGGCAGGGAAGAGTGGTGCAAGCCATGACAGTTTTGACTGCTGAGTAGTCACTGAACCATTTCTCAGGCCTCTGAAGGTACTGGACCCATTTGGTGAATCTCTCTTTCAGAATGACAGAGTTGACAGGAGTTATAACTCCTCCAGGTAAAGTCAGAAAGGGAGTGTGAAGGTTTGCCAATCCCACAGGGGGTTCTCTATTCCACTGTCTGGGCATCCCTTAACCAATATAGCTGACATTCTAAACCACTCTTCCCATATACACTGCTTTTTCTCCAGTGACACTTTTGAGGTAACTGGGACTGCTGGTCTTGAAGTACATGATGTTAGCTACTAGAGACCAACTACCCACCACCAACCCAGTGTTTGCACAGCAATGAGAGAACAAAGTCTGTCAGCTGTTTCCGATGTGAGAGAGGAAGGGAGTTGATATGGGCATGGTTAAATTTAGTAGACTTTATTCAGGATCCAGCAGTGTCTAATTTAGGTGACATGGATATGAGTAAAAATGCCAGTTGGCACACACCTTTAATCCCAGCACCCAGGAGGCAGAGGCAGGTGGATCTCTATGTGTTCCGAGGCCAGCCTGGTCTACAGAGTTTCAGGACAGCCAAGGCTACACAAAGAAACCCTGACTCAAAAACAAACAAACAAAAACTAGCTCAGTAATTTACAGAGAAAGAACTTTCCGTCTTATGCTTATAGGACTTTCCCAGGGGAGACATGAACAAGTATCTGTTGATGCCAGTTTGGGCACCAAAACCAGATCAAAAAAAAAAGTTTTACCTAAGTCTAGTTTAGTAAACCAGTGAGTTTATATGGGTTACTTAACTAGCAACCCAAAGGCAGTTGCATCAGTGAAATGCCCAGCGCAGGTGACAAATTCACAGAAATCACAAGGATGAAATTCCTGGCTGCCTGTAGGACTCAGACAGGGGCTCTGGAAAGCCCTACTGCATGAGGAGGGCTTTGTGATGGAGAATTTTATCAGCTTCCTGAGTCTTATAAGCCTCCCCTTTCCCTCCATAAACAGATGTTTAAATCTAGAGGAGAGTTACACAATACTACATGAACTAAAGTCAAGCCTGTAATGAAACTTCTGAATGAAATTATAAGTTCCCACAGCACTCTAGTAATTATAGCATATAGTTAGTAAAATACAAAAATGCAATGATTATTAAGGTATGGCAATTAACAGTTCAGTTTATTATTTTATAGTGAAAAATAACATAAGCTTTTTATAATATGCTTACAAGTATGACAGACACAGGTGGAGATACCCTTAGTAACAGTAGTATAATGCATGAGTGCAGGTAAGCGCAAGAGTCGGCTGTTAGAAGGCTGAGTAGCTTTTGATGCCACCAAGATCCTGGTTGGGAATTATGACAGTGCAGCTTCTAGGCATCACTCATCTTAAAATTAACAAAATAAAAATTCCACTTTATCAGCTATTATGAGGAATTCCTTTAGCTGTGGTTTTTACTCCAGAATCTCATTCCCCTTTGGAGGCCTCTTCATCCGTGAGTAGGGACTTATTGTGTCATCCATCACAAAATCATACAGTACTTTGATCCAGGAGTTGTACTGGGGGAGTTTATCATAGTATTCAGCTGCTATTTTCCTCACCTGGAAGTGAACAAAAGCAAAGTGAACAGTGAGTGTTACTGAAGCCTCAAGATGACAGCTGAGTGTCTGACAGACTGGGGGACAAATACCAAGTGAGCCAAAGGGAAACACCCTTGCTCATGGTCCTTCAGATGGCCTGCAGTTCTTCATGAATAAGATGTCTGCAGATCACATGACATAAACAGCTCCATCAAAATCCACAATGGATTTAGGGCAAAGCCAGTAGCAATCAGAAAGATGCTAGCCTTCCAAATAGTAAAATGATAAAGCCAGTTCAGAGCCTGGACAAGCACTTGAGTCAAGACATTCCTGAGAATGAAAACGTGCTAAAGATCATCATTAGCACAAGAAGTCGATAAATTGTAGACATTATAAAGACATAAAGCTAAAAACCTCAAATCCTTAATACTAAGAATTAAACCTGGGGTATTTGTCAGCAAGGTCCAATTCACACACTGACACAAGATGGCTGTGATTCTTAGAAAGTTGTGAACTGAAGAAAAGTATGCTTAAAAAATATTTTGGCGGGAGTCTGGTGGTGCACTCCTTTAATCTCAGCACTTGGGAGGCAGAGGCAGGCAGATCTCTTTAGAGTTCCAGACCAGCCTGGTCTAGAGTGAGTTCCAGGACAACTAGAGCTGTTGTTATACAGAGAAACCCTGTCTTGAAAAGCAAAAACAAAATGTTTTGTATTGGTGCTAGAAAAATAGTTCAGTGGCTAAAGGGCTGGCTGCTCTTCCATAGGACCTGTTAGGGCTCCCGGCACTCAAATGGTAGTTCATAACAGCCTATAATTCCAGTTCCAGAGGTTCTAACACTCTGTCTTGGCCTTTGAGGCAATAGGTACGCACATGGTACATGTACATATTTGCAAACATACATATACGTAAAATAAAAATTAAAATATTAACGTACATAGGGACTGTGAATAAATGTTAGGTAGTTACTGAATAAACAATTCCTTGGAGACAGACCTCTTAGAAGAACAGGAAAGGCAGGGCTTTCAAACTCTATGGCTGTTTATTGAGTATTAACTTAACAAAAGAGTAAGAAGATAGGAAGGAAGAGTAGGAAGCTAGAGTCTCACTGGTCTACCAAGGGCTTTAAATAAGTACCGCCTGAACTACACTAAGTTTTTAATTTGGGGACTGTTCCAGGAAAATACACATATTTGAGGGAAATTTTTGCTTAATGGTTGATTGATTCTTCTCCTTAATTTGTGATCCTTTTTTTTTTTTTTTTCTTAAAGTAAGAGTTCTCTAAAAAAATAAACTCAGTTCCCTTGACACAAATGAGGGAAACATGGACTGCCAAATTATGTCTGCTAGTATACCAGCAGAATGACACAGAGGGATGCCTCCACAGACTTGGTGTTGTTTTCTCTTCAACTGAAAAGCTGAGAGGATAAGGGAGCCCTCGTGCCCTTCACCCATTTCCCAATTGGCCCTTTGGTACACTTACATGTGTACTGTGTAGATAACAAAAACACTCTGCTTTCTTCCTTAGTTGTGCCAACTTAACCCATATTTCAACTCTAAATACTGCAACATGTCCAAAGACAGTTGTCCTACAAAACCCTATCACCATTATACCTGGTAATCTAACTTTGATGACTATTTTTATGGTATGGATTACCCACCGAGCCAGTATTGTTTACAGTCTTTTCTTAACCAGATCCAAAGAAATAATCACACACTGCAATTGGCTGTCCTGTTGTATGTAATTTTTCAACAGTGTTTAAAAATTTGAATGAGTGAGTATGACACCATGAAGTATCCATTAGGGTTCCCTTACATACAACATCTTTTTTTTAAGTAAAGAAAAACTATTTTTCATATATATCATTTTTTTAGAATTATGGAGTTTTCTTTTTTTTTTTTTTTTTCCTACGTGAACAGTAGGTTTTGTTTTTGTTTTTTGAGACAGGGTTTCTCTGTGGAACAGTCGTGGCTGGCCTTGAACTCCTGCCTCTGCCTCCCCAGTGTCAGGCTACTCACTCTGAAGATAGAAAGGCTGGTGAGAAGGCTCAGCAGGAAAACTACTGAGGTTAATAAGAGTGGCTGGTTTTGGAAAAGATGGGAAGAATGAAGGCTGCAATGTCTTCTTTTGTTTACTCCAGGCATAACACACTGAAGGTCGGCCAGGAAAAGGTTATCAACATGGGCACTGACACTGTCCACTCTACAGATTAGTTATGCAGATCACCTCATTTGTGTGTTACAAAAGCCACACATCTTAGCCAAGTACAACAGCTTAATGGTGATGAATGTTCCATGAACAGATGCTTCCCGCAGAGGAACAGTTTTCGAATTCTGAGCTAATTTAACAGGTAAGAGATTTGCACGTCTAAGCTCTAAGCATGACCACTAAGCATGACCACTAAGGACCCAGAACAGAAGATCTGAATCCTCACTGAAGTTAGGCTAGCAGACATAGGATATATGTTCTCCTTTTATCTGACAAAACATACTAAATTACTTTTTACAATAAACAAGCCATGACTAATTTGATTGCATCACCATCAAAAACAAAACATCAAGTCCTTCACTTACCAGGGGCAGGTTTTTTCCAGGAACGTTGGGGAAGTCATGGTGTTCATTATGGTAGCCCACATTGAAGGTCAGTAAATTCAGAGGCCCATAATATGAGTACGTTTCGTGCCCCTTTAAGAACATGTAATGTTCTGCTATAAAATGCCCAGAAATTGGGTGCAAACCTAGGCCAAGTAGGGAGGCTGCCAACATGTAGACTAAAGATTTAATTCCAAAAACATAGTAAATTATAATGTCAAAAATGATCTGGATCACAGTATTGATGATTTCCAGGTAAGTAATGGGTTTCGGATTGATGAGTAGGGGTCTAAAAGCATAAAAGAGAGGCTGAAGGACAACCCAGACCAGCTTCCTGAGAGTGGTGCAGAAGAACCAGCCCTCAAAATCAGTAGGAATATCCACATCGATGCCATCAGCTCCCAGGTACCGATGATGGTCCATGTGGTATCTCTTAAAAGAAACTGAATATGGAACTCCCAAAGGGAGGTTAGCAAATATTCCAAACCAGCGATTCCACAGCGATTTGTGATGACCGAAGGGGAAATTGTGAGAAATCTCATGGATGCCCAGAGTCATTGAGTGGTTAAGGCAGCTGCCAAAGACATAGGACCAAAATATGACCCATTTCCAGTCCAAGTCTTTCACTAAGTAAAATGAAGCCAACTGGGCGAGAAGCATCACAGATATGATCCAGATCAGATTGGGGTCAGGTTTCATCAAGGATTTTATCTCTGGATACTTTGCTGTAAGAAAAGGAAATACAAACAATCAGGAACAAAGGAAAGCACACAATAGTTCAGCAACTGTAATTAATACAATTAGATTTCCCTCTTTTCTCAATCATAATCCTTCCCCTTACAGACTTCACAAAATATTCATTCCCTAAAGGGAAGGAATATATCCTGGTTAAAAAAAAGTCACAAAATAGCATGACACAACATTTTATGCAAGAAAAACAATCTGGACATTCTGAATTCTCCTATATTAAAATAATTACACCTATGCTTAGACAAATACACACATATTTTCTTTTTATTTTCTATTTTACACGTGAGAATATTTTGCCTGCATGTATGCCTATGGGCTGTGTGGATTCAGTGCCTATAGAGGTCAGAAGAGGGTATCAAATCCCCTAGAACTACAGTAACAGATGGTGTGAGCAACCATGTGACACTGGGAACTGAATCTGTGTCCCTGCCTAAGAGCAGCACTGAGCTATCTCTCTAACTAAAGCTCTGGCATATTTATCTTATGTAAACCATTAAATTAGCACAGCTGACACAAGAAAGAGCATTAGCATTTGTTTCATAGAGCTTCAAATTATAAAATTCATTTTCATGGTTCTATCAGACCAATTAACTTCCTCCTAATAATTCTACTCTGACAAACTCCCCAAGCCCATATATAAGGATCTCATATGACAGCAGGAAAGGACAGTACTGAAACAGTGCTTATCAACACAAGAAACAATCAAGCTGGACCTCCTCCCTATACCAAGAGTTAACTCAAAATGGATAAGTCTATCTATCAAAATTGTAGAACTCAGAAAAAATGATAAATTGAACCTGCATTAAAATATTCTTTTTCAGCAGGGCGTTGGTGGAGCACACCTTTAGTTCTAACACTCAGGAGGCAGAGGCAGTGGATCTCTGTGAGTTCGAGGCCAGCCTGGTCTACAGAGGGAGTTCCAGGACAGGCTCCAAAGCAATACAGAGAAACCCTATCTCAAAAAACCAAAAAAAAAAAAATCAATCGTCTTTTTCAGATGGGCAGTGGTGGCACACACCTTTAGTCCCAGCACTGGGGAGGAAGACGCAGATCTCTGTGAGTTCGAGACTAGCCTGGACTACAGACTAAGTTCCATGACTGCCAGGACTATTTCACAGAGAAACCCTGCCTTGGAAAAAAATAAAACAAAACAAAAAACCAGAACTTCTTTTTCTATAACAATACCATCAAAAAGAGCAGGTGACAATCTAACAGACAGGCAGACACATTTGCAAGTCATATATTCCATAGGACAATCATATCTAGAATATGTATAGTTCAAACTTTTTAAAAGGCAAAAAAAAAAAAAATCTAATAGAAAAGATTTATAAATGGTCCCTTCCCCAAAAAACCACATGAAAGATACTTGACACCTTTAGGAAAATACAGAGACCACAAAACTGTTGTCATTTAAAAAGACAGTTGTAGTTCAATGGCAGAGCACCTGACTAGCATGCCTGAGGTCCTAGATTAAAAGGAAAGGTAGAGTAAGGGTTTAGTGAACCCTGACATCACTCCTCTGAACCCACAGAGAGCATGGGGTAGTAGTGGGCATCTGTAATCCCAGCAGGAGTATGGCAAGGAGACATGCTGAGACTGAAGATTGTCCAAGAAGCTAGGAAGCTTTGGGACCAGCTAGCTTGAAATGCCCAGCACAGAAGCAGAAACAAGAGACCCTGCCTCAAAGCAATATGGTAGGAGAAAGCCCACTCCTGAAAGCTTATCTCCTGGCCTCCACAATGCACGCAAATGGGAGCACACCCATGTGCCTGCCTACACATGAAAAGACAGGCAGTAACTAGGTTGTGGAGAAACCAGAATCTTCATGCACTGCTAATAGAAGTGTAAGATGGTGAGCTAGAGAGATGGCTCAGTGGGTAAGAGTACTGACTGCTCTTTCAGAGGACCAGGGTTCAATTCCCAGCACCCACAGGGCTGCTCAACTGTCTGTAACTCCTCACAGACATACTTACAGGTAAAACACTAACAAAATAAAATTTTTAAAAATGTAAAATGGTTTAAACTGTTTGGTATTTAACCAAAGTGCTAAGAAGTGCCAAAAGGATCCCCAAACGAAAAGCATCCATACCCTGTACACGAATGTTCAAAGGAACATTATTAAAAACAGCTGAAAAGGAGAAAAAAAAAAGGCTCAAATGTCTGTCAAATACCTACAAGTAAAATGTGGTTATCACCTCATGGGAGTATGAAAGGTGTGGTCCCTAGTTGATACTGAGAGGATCCGGAAGGCTCTGACCCAATCTATAGACTAAACTCTCCAAGGATTCACAAAATGATGGCATATTGGGGGGGGGGGAGAGCTGGTCACCGGAGGCAAGCTACAGAGGACATGCTCCTGCCTGCGCTCTCGCTCTCTCTCCCCCCCCCCTTCCTGGCTAGCATGGGGGTGGGGTGGGGCGGCTTTCTTTCCTTCAAGCCCTCTCTACCATGATTTTACCAGACCTCCATCCAAAAGCAATAGCAGCCGTGACCACCGAAGGAAACCATTAGCCAAAATAAGTCCTTCCTCCCTCGTGTTGTTCAGGTATTTACCACAGCAGTGAAGCAATGAGTTGCCAAACCTAAGAGCACAAAGCAAGTGATAGCACAGCCATTTATAAAGTTTTGCCTTTCCAACCTAGTCACTCAATTCAAGTTCTCCAGCAGAAGCCAGGGGAGCAGCTCTGATGTAGAGAACCAATTAGTACCAGGAATCTCTGAGTTTGAATTCCAGGGCTAGGGGGGAAAATCCATTTTGAAAGGCATCTATTCACTCTTATCTGTGAAACACGAAATTTCTAAGTTTAGCTACTGAACAAGTCAGGGCCTCAACCACCCAATGGGCAAAGATTTTTAAGAAAGAGTGTAAAGATGGTGGGTAATAGTCAATTCCTCGTATTTAGTAGCCTTTTATTGATTTCCTCATTTTTTAAAGAAACAGCAAAAGTTAAAACAAAAAACCTTTCGCTCTCTAGCAACAGGAAGAAGAAAAAAAGCGGAAAAAAAAAAAAAGCATATTCTTCAGCTGCAGTCTAACCCGGATGGGCCAGACAAGTACTGAAAAGGGAGAATTAAACTGGATAATATATTCAGAGTTCTCAACCTAAGAACTTATCAGTCCCCTTAAAAGCAGTGATGTGACAGACTTCTCTAACCCACGCGGAAACCCCTAACATCCTCTAGGCCCAAAGTCCGGAAGGCTAAGCCTCGCGCCTCTCCTACCCAGCAGCCAGACCCGCAGGTGGCTGGGAAAGGACGCCCCGGAGGGGCCGTGCAGTCCGAGAAGCCTCTGGCTACCGGGAGCTGGTCCCCCGCTGGGCCTGCGGCTGGCTGGACCACGTGATCAAGGATCCCGGGGCCCGGGGATGCCCAGGACCACGCCCTGAGCCCATGGGCCTAGCGGGCGGTCCGGCTGGAGCCCACTCACCCCTCCCGCCGTGAGGGGTCATTCTGCCGCCGGGACAGGAGGAGACCAGCCCGGGTCGCCCCACCGGCGGGGCCTCAACTCACAGGCCGGCGGGGCCGCCAGCGCCTGACCACCGAAGGGCCAGCGGCGCGCGGGGACGCGTAGGTCCCCATCCGTGGGGCCTTGGGCTCGCCCGGAACCAGCCCCGCGCCCCGCGTCGGCGGCCGAACAGCCGAGCGTCTGGAAGGAGCCTCGGAGACCGTGCTCACGCGGCGCGCGCGGGAGGCCGCGCAGGGCCCGCGCACGGCCGAGCGCACATAACGGGGCGCCGGTCCTCACCCAGGATCTCCCGGCGCCGGTCGGTGTGCGGCTGGTCCGTATAGACCCACTCGAAATCCTCTCGGGACACGCAGCTCCCCATGGCGGCGGCGGCGGCGCGCGGACCCGCTCTGCCTCACGCTCGCGTCCCGGCCCCGCTCTAGTGGCTGTGTCGGCAGCTGCTTTCCCGGCTCTTGTCGGTCAGCAGCCGGGCCGCGAGAGGGGCGGGGCTGCCCCGCCCCTGCCATGGCCCCGCCCCGCCCGGGAGGCCTGCGAACGGCGGCTAGGTGATGGGCGGGGCCTGGATTCCGAGGCCAAGAATTTTGTCTGCTTGCGAAGCCTGCGAAAAGGTGAAAAGGGAAGGAAAAGTCTGTAGCCGGATAAGGCTACCGCTTTAGCGCCTCCGTGGGTGGAGTATTTCGGGGTGGCTACCTCTCCACGAGCCCAGAAGATCACTGGCTTGATTAAATGGCAGTGGGCCCAAGTTTCGTTTACATTTTAATAGCATATTATCTGTTTTGCCATGATTGGTTGCCTTCTGGAACTAAAACCTCTGGGGAAAAAAAAAAACCTTTCTGATTGCTCCTCTTTCTCTCTCCCCTCCCCCCAATATGTTTGCTTTGTTTACTTTGCTTTTGTTTCTTGAAGTAGGGTCTCACTACCTAACCTAGGCTGTCCTCCAACTGGCGGTCTTGCCCTTGCCTCCCAGTGAAATTTCAGGCTTGCCTCACCATGGTATCGAGAAAAGGGAAGGGAGAGATGGGGTGGAGTTTGTGACTCTAATGTTCTCTTGTACTGATGGTTGCTTAATCATATGTGTCACAGAAGTGATCGTCTGAAACTTCCCGAGGTGTGTGTATGGGGCTGGGGGTGGGAGTGATTTCAAAATGTGTTGCTCAGGATTTTAATCCCAGCACTCCCAGGCAGAGGCTGGCAGATCTGTGAGTTCAAGGCCAGCCTGGTCTACAGAGCAAGTTCCAGGACTGTTAAACACAGAAAACTTCTCTCGATAAACCAAAACAAAGATTAACAGACAGGATGAGTCTCCCAAAGGAGCCAAGTGCATGAATATAAACCAGACAAAGGCATACACTGTTGTAACAAGTGAGGTGGGGAGACAGGCAGATTTCCAAGTCTGATGAGTCTGTAGATACAAGAGCTAATGTATAGAAAACTATAATAACAGAAAAGTCCAGTAAACTATACTACAGGATGCAAGCAACAAGATCTCAACAAGTTAACTGACTTAAAAGACAAACTAACCAAGCTGTGGTGCATTGTTCTTATTTGTTCCAAAGGGTTAAAAACAATATAATATTATTGAAAGATTTATTTTTAGTGTTTTATATATATACATATATACACACATATGCATACACACGCGCACGTGTGTGTGTGTGTGTGTGTGTGTGTGTGTGTGTGTGTGTGTGTTGTTTGAGTGCACATGAACGCAATTGCTTTCAGAGGCCAGAACTGTGTTAATATTTTCTCTGCTTCTCAACTGCTGCCATCTTCCACACAGAGTAAAATTTAAGTTAAAAAGTAATAATGAGCCAGGCATTGGTGGTGCACACCTTTAATCCCAGCATTTGAGAGGCAGAGGCAAGCAAATCTCTGTGAGTTTGAGGCCAGCCAGGTCTATAGAGCAAGTCCCTCTACAGGCTCCAAAAAAACCCTGTCTCAAAAAGCAAAACAAAACAAAAAGTGATGATGATGTTGAAAAGGAAGTGGGTTCTACCCACTTTCTGTTCAATCTATCAATCTAAAGATTGCCTTGGGCTACACTGTGACAACCTACACTTCAGGTGCTGTGGATCAGCATTCACCAAGGGTCTGTGTGTCAAGGCCTCTGGCAGGTAAGATGACACAAAGACTGCACTCTGGTGCTCAGGTAGGTCCAGGGATCCTAACAGAATAGAACCCTCATGGTCATCATCAACGGTTTGTCTCAAAGGCTTCAAGGCTCGGGGCTGCGCCTTTCTCTGGCAGCCCCTGGGAGAGCCACCCCTTCCTGGGTTTGCATGCATCAAATCTCATCCGCCCATCTTTCACACAGTTTTGGACTTCTAGACGACTGTAAATCAGGTTGTGGGTGGTTGGGTGGGAAAACTCAAAGAAGCCAGTGCCACACGAAAGCGGGTTAGGCATTAGAGTCCCCCTTGTAGCACTGATGTCTCTGAGCACTTATTCATAACAGGCATCTGGGGTCATCTTCAGGAACAATTTCAAACTGAGGCGGCACACCACCATTCTTGATTTGACAGATATGGACACTTCTGGTCTGGGCACTTCATGTGGGTCTTCATTCTAGTATACAGTAGCTCACAGGGTAGATGGCACTCTCATCATGGAAGCCAGGTCAGTTGATGACATCTCCCCAGGGTATGGACCTTTAAACCCAATGGGGAACATTAGCCATTCAACAAGGGATCCCGGGCAATGGCGGAACTGGCTTGTGAGCACCTCCTTCCTTTTTCTTTTTCTTGGATGTTTTCTTCAGAACTTCCAGTGTGTTGTTCTCTTTGCCCTTTTCTTTTTTTCTCCTTCTTGGATTTCTTCCCAAATGGTTCCAAGGCCCCAGTGCTGGGCCAACCTCCCTGTAGAGTTCCCACAGAGCTGGTCACACCACAAGCCAGGGGCAAATGAGTAGCAGGGAGGAGCTTTGGCCTGTGGTTCCCCCTCAGTTAGCTACAACCTGAAGCTGCAAGACTTCCTCTGCAGTATTTTCTTTCTTTTTGCTTTAAGAAAATTTTCCTCAATATGAGTATTTTTTTTTATCACAAATGGCAGCATTTTCAAACACTGTGGCCTTGGCCACTTAGTGGGATTTCAAGTACTTCAATCGGTACTTCTCGTTCTGGCTCTTCTTCCAAAGCTTTTTCATCCTGGCCTTGATGGACAGGGATGCTGCACTCAGAAGCCAGGCTGCCCAGCAGGCTTATGATCTGACCCCAGCTGGGGGCTTTGGACTGAGGAAGGCTTAGAGGGGAGGTAAAAGCTGGTGCTCACACTAGTCACTGTTAACCACTGGATCATCACTCTAGCCCCTGATGTCACGTTATTTAGTTCAAGTATCATTTGGGCAGGTGAAGGCATTAAGAAATTCTTGGTGGCCATGGTGACCCAGTTGTGCATCATCCCACTTGCACAGAAACCTAAGGCAGAGAGATCACAATGTCTAGGATTGCCTGGACTACAGAGCCAATGCAAAACAACTCTGGGAAAATTGGTAAAACCCCAGTGTCCTCCCTGCCCCTCCCAAAGAGAAAATACTGGAGATAGAGTTTAGTGATAGAGTGCCAAGTAAGATGCTAGGTTCAAGATCCACCACCACCAAAAAAAAAAAACAACAACAAAACAAAAGAGCAACAACAACAAAACCTTATAATTTCTTATAATAGTGCTTATTTTTTTAAGAAAAAACAAAACTGAAGTACAGTACATATTTCAATCTATATTGTACTGTGCTATACAATGGTTCTGCCTAGAAATGTAAAAGAATGGGGCCAGAAGTGAGTTCGGTGGCAGAGCTTCTAAGTGTCATGTACATGGCTCTAGATTCAACCCCTAGTATCTAAAGGGTGGGGATGTAAAAGAACCTGGAGTAGTGGTGGGATAGCCTTGTGGTAATAGCATTCAGGAAGATAATGAGTTTGAGGCTAGCCTGTGCTACATATGGAGAGCCTGTTTCAAAAATCTACATAGTTCTTAATGGGCATCTCAGCTGAGATCGCTGTTTCCTCTGAATTGAAACATTTCCTTTCTGAGCATGTGTTGCTCTTACAGAGGACCCTGGTTCAGTTCCTAGCACCCACAGACAGTTCACAACACTCTGTGATAACTCCAATCTGAGGGTCTAACATCCTCTCTGGCCTCCGGGGGCCCTGCATGCATGTGGTACACATAGTTCAGGCAGAGCACCCATTCACATAAATCTTTAAAAGGGGGGGAGGGAGGGAGGAATGATGTGATTATAGTCTCAAAAAAACATAAAAGAAATAAAAACAAAACCCTCTGATTAGCTCACAAAACTTACAAGACTCACAAGCCTGCTCCCTAAGATTCTACAAGAGTCAAAAGCTGGGGCAAAGAGGTATAGTCACCTGCAAGTTAGGCAAGGAACTTGGGCAATGCAGGTTCCTGAGTCATCCATCATCTGTGCTCACTCAGGTGGGCTGTTTGGTGATGCAGCTGCTGAGCCACTCATACTCCTATAAGCGCTGCCAATAGAATTGCTCCTGCCCTCAGCTGGAGAGAATCATTTAAGTGGGCTGTTGTTGCCTTCTGTCTGGGGTAAGTGGAAATAGCTTTCCTAGAAGTCTCACAACAGCTATACCTTGAACTTGGCACATTCTTCCATATACATTAACTATTTTCCTTTTATTTGTTTAAGTTTTGGATAGGCAATTCATTTTAAAAATTATCTTTTATTTCCCATCTCCTCTCTGGGGTGTGGTGGGGGACTGGAAGGCCATCTGGGAGTAAGCACTGTATCCATTAAACGTGGGGTTTTTCTAATTCGGTTTGATTTGGTCTGATTTGGATTGCTGCATCAGCGGAGAGGCTTTGTGGGGTATAGAAACTTTTCATATACTAAGACTTCAAAAACATGAGTCTACTACCGTTTACAAGATGGACTTCAATATAGATATAGATAACAAACAGTAATAATGCTAACATATCCAAAACTTTTATCTTTGTTTTTTTCCTTGATTTTTTCATGTTTGTTTATTTCCTTTTTCTTTTTTTAAATTTAAAATAGAAATGATCTTATTTTACATATCAGTTCCAGTTCCCTCTCCCTCCTATTCTCCCATGCCCCACTTTTATCTTGTTGTAAACTTTAAAAAATTCATGTAAGCTTCATAAGTCATAAGACTTTGATCCACCTCCCATTGGTCAAATGGACCAGATCAGTGCTCCTACATTTCCCCACCAGCCTGTCTGAAGGCGGGATGTTTCTTTCTCTGCTGGTCTTGGGACTCTTCTCCACCAATTACCAGGACTGTGGTCTTGGAAGTTTCAAATGTACACCCAAGATTAAAAAAAATTTCCCCTAAACTCCTTAACTTTACCTTCTGTCTCCACCACTATATTGGGTCCAGCAGATTTCCAATCAAGTAGAAACTGCACAGTGCTCCATTGTGGCCCACACTCCCCTAGCCCTACTCTTTCCAGCCTCGGCCA